CATCCTCGTCTATTTCCCTCAGTGTTATCTGACTTAAGACAGGTGCAGACGCAGATAAACTGACCACTTTGTCTTCTTGACTTTGACTTCTTTCATGCATAGGTGCAGATGAAGATTGCCCACAGTCTATTTCAACATATATCTCAATAAAGTTTTGAAATTTTCGGTCCACAATTGCATCTATGACACATTCCACATCTTCATCGTCACACATATCATTACCAATGTAGAATATTACATCCTTACCAACTGTAGACTCTACCCTGGCGATCATCCGTTGAACGCACTGGCTGCCTTGTAGCCCCAATTTTTGGTGAATCCTCCCCTTAAGCTCATTGTACGTAGTGCCCCGTTTGATTTTCAACATTTTCGTTTTTCCTTCAAATTGAACACCGTTGGGGCCTTCATAATGCTTTCCATCATAGTAAATCATGGTAACATACATGTTTGGACTTGAGCTCATCTTTCACACGAATTTGGGGGTAGGAATCGGATTTTAGGGTTTTGGGTTCGGATTTGGGGGAAACAAATCAGAAAATAAGGGAAATGACAATGATTTCACAATTACTATGCTTTAGAGATGGTGGGATGAAATGGAAGGGTGAATGGAAGGATCACAGCTGACAAACAAGAGAAAGAGGGGTTTTGATTTCGAAAATATTGCAAATGAGACCGAGAGAGGTCTGGATATAGGGTTTTCTGCGATATTTAGTCGACTAAATAATGGCCTTAGTCGACTAAATGTGCTCGACATGTAGTCGATCAAGGTGAATATTTAGTCGACTAAAATTCGTGTTTCTTGATTTCTGAATTTTGCCCATTTAGTCGATTAAAAGTGCAACTTGATCGACTAAATGGGGGCAAGATGGTGGATAGTTCTGGGGGAGAGACAAATTGGTTATTAATTAATTAATGAGGGGCAAAAGGGTCAAAAAGCCTTGCAATAATGCACTCTTTTACTGGAAAATCCTTAGACTTGTAAAATATAAGGAATTAGGAATATATTGCACACAAATTCATTAAATTCTTATGAAAATAGTAAGTCCTAAACGCAATTCCTTATTATGCGCTAAACACAAGGAATTCCTATAAAATTTGGACATTCATAAAGCTTTAAGAGTTTATACATTCCTTTTTACACATTAAAAATAGATAACCCTCCAAAGCATATAAACAATGAGGAAAATATAGTTGCAATAAATCAACATGAGTCATATAAATGAATCAACATTCCTTTTTTATATTTGCATCCTTATATTTTATATCCTTGTTTTCCTTTGTACAATAGCTTGAGAAGGAATAAAGAAAAATTTGAGAACACCTATTAATTAAAAATAGGTGAATACCAGAGAACATAAAAATGACATATCTACCAACGAAACACAGACTCACAAATTTTTCTGAATTGTGCGTGTCGGACACGTGTCCGACACGGACACGTTCCGACACGCGTCCAACATGCGATCAATATTTTGTGACACGTGGTCAACTCTCGGACACGCTCCGACACGTTTTTCCGACACACAGTCAATTTTTTTGAACACGTGGTCAATGCTCGAACACGTTTTTTTTTTAGTCTTAATTTTATTTTATTAACTAAAAATAAAAATAAAAACATTTATAAATCAGTTTTTGTCTGTTATCAAATTTGACATGAAAAATTAACAAGGTACGGAAAATTATTTTTGTTTATATTTATGTTATGAAATTTGAATATTTAATTGGTTATATAACTTATTATAGACTATTATATCTATTAAATATAAATTATATTATATATATTAAAAATATTATTTAATATCAAAACGTGTCCTAACGTGTCAAAATGTGCCATTTTTTAGAATTAACATGTCGGCATGTCGTGTTCCGTGTCTCATGTTAGTGTATGTGCATCATAGATATCTACATATAGAACCTTGAGAAGCCATTTAATATTAACAAAAACAACAAATGCATTCCAACATTCACAAATTTACCTCTTTTATGCATGAGAATGACAATTAGGATAACCTCGTCGCTAGTGGCGGAGCCAGGGTAAATACCCAGCAAGTGTCAAAAGACTCAATTAGTAAAATTCAGCTAATATCAATGTTATATTATTTTTTAAAATCTAACCAATATCAAATTTATACCATAACTTTTAAAGAAAATATGTAACATTATTTAAAATCAGCTGGTGCCAAGACATCACCTGGGAGGCAAGTGGCTCTGCCACTGCGTCGCTCCAGTTCCAAAAAATAACCTAAAATTGCAGGCCTTTTGAATATTCATATACCCTAACTAGTAAAATCAATACAAAGTTATCTCTTTGGTTTTTTGTTTTTGTTTTTTGTAATATCCTCAAAGCCTTTCGACACCAACTCTAGCTCGCGGAAGAAGAAGATGTCGAAGTGGATGTCAACGGGGAAGTTCAAGGGTGGATGTAAAAGGTATTACAACATCAAGGAATAAAAAGTGAGAAATAAAATTATGGAAAGGGAAAGATTCACATGCTGATTATTCCTCACTAATAAATTGAGGCCATTAAATTGGAGTAAGATCAATAGCACAAATTAGATGCAAGATTTTTATTCTTAGACCAAACGAAGGAGACAAATTTGGGTGACTAGTAACTTTGTCTAGAATGATATGCCGCATATGTACCCAAAAAAAAATAAAAATGATATGCCGCATAAAATGGCTAAACCACATAATGTGCCAAATTAATGAGTAACTCAATTAACTCAATGAACAAATTTAACAATTGGACACATGTTTTACATGAATGAATCAATTTCAGGACTCACTCTATTTTAGAAGTTTACTTGGTTTTTGGATGGATTTAAAGTTATTAAAGTTACTTTAGATAATTTTATTTAATATTTATCAAAATACATGCATAAAAGTGTGTGTAGCTTTAATGGGTTAATTAAATTACACCAATTTTATTTTGTTAAAAATTTGTTCCCACTAAATAAAATGGCTGCTGCCCAACTCATCCTACCACAAAAAAAATATTTTTAGGTTTCTAATTGAAGTGAATTTTTTAAATTTCTATCTTTTTTATTTTGATTTGCCTTTTATTTTATTAGAATAGTTAGATTCCTATCTATATTGCGTGATTGTGTATATATTCAAACTTTTTTTTTATGTGTGAATTTATTTATTGGCTACTTGCTACAAATATCAAAGAACCAAATGGCCCCCAGCCCATGCACAGCTGGGGAGGGACTCAGTCGTGCCAATCGACAAATCTTACTCACCACGAGGGATCGTCATTATTTTTTATTTATCGAAAGTTCTCAATTATATATAATACGTACTTGAGAAATATTTTAAAATCCTTTAGATGAACTTAGTTAAAATAATTTTTAAAATGCGTATACATTATTTTAACTTATTTTAGAAAATAAAAATTGTAACTTGACGTAAACAAAAAAGAGCTTATGCAAAAATTTTGTGATGATTGAAATAACTTGATTGGTTGAATTGTTAATAATATTTTTTGTCTGAAAGTATTGACCTGAATAAATTATTAGTTTCAAACGATCATAATTTTTGTTTATTATTATTTTTTCAAATATTAAAGCAAACTTTATTTTTTTTTGGTGAACAAGCAACCTTTATTTAGTGTGTTTTACATCATACTCATGGCAATATAAAAAATTTATTTAACAAACTTTACCTTTTTCTGCGAGTTTAAATCTAAGGTAAGGTTGGTTATTTTAATCAAGACAAGTGCATAATGTAATATGTTAACAAAGATATAGACATATGTTTAAATTCAAATTAACCACACATGTTAATAACATGAAGTTAAGTTTGTTTAGCAAAAACATGAAGTTAAGTTTGATATATGACAATTTATTTTGTTTTACTAGTTCATCAATTACATGATTAATTTGGTTGAGCCGGGCAAGATTATAAGAATGCAAAATTTTTCCAATTAAATTCTTAAGACAGTTATCTAGAACTCAAAATCACTAATTAATATAGAACAACTCTATCAATTAATCCACATATTTGGTGATGACATGCCACCTTTAAATACTCTTGGATATAAATTAATTAATATACACAAATTAATCTAAGATACCACTTACCATAATAAAAGTAGACATACCTTACCTTAACTAAGTTAATAATTAATCAATACATATAATATTATATAAACTAACTACATAACATGAAAATCTAAGTAGTTAATTTATTTTAAATAATGATATAAAGTTATTTATTAACAATCTATACATTTAACTAAGTTGAACTTAGTCCCATTTTTAACTAAACTATTTTCATCCAACTAAAAAGATTAGCTAATTTTTTTTTTATAAAATTCACTTAAATTCAAGTCTAGTTATTAGATAAAAAATAAATTAAGATTTAGAGAAGCATATCTAACTACTCTGTCTAAGATTTCTGGCTAACATTTTTTTTCTTAATCGTAATGGGAAATTGACTCAAAAATCAAACAAACGTGTGCTCTGGAAGAAGTGGAAATGGTAATAGGCATTTATTTCATGCGAGATTCAAATAAATAAATAAATAAATAAATCTGAAGGCTATGACTCTCTCTCTGTAGAGAGAGAAGGACTTTGAAACATAAAAACATAGATTTTACATAGAGAAGGAGAGAATGATACTAAATAGGGTTAGTAAATTAATTAGGTGAAATAAGAGTATGTGTTCGATCCTCCAGAGAGATTTAATTTATCTAAAATAAGACTAGTCTGAATTGATAAATTGATTAGAATATCTCGAAAACAAATAAACAGAGAATGATAGAAAACTGAACAAATAAGATGAGAAACATGTGTTTGATTTTATTTAAAAATATTTTAAAAATGGATTTAAAATCATAATTATGAAATGCTTCTCGAATCAAATTACTACTCAGCCAAGCAATGAATCGAATATTTCAAAAAAACAGAAAGAGAGAATGGTCAAATATTGACCGGTGGCGCAGGTCAGTGGTTGATAAACCCCTCTCTCTCTCGCTTTCTCTCTCTCTCTCACAAGTTCTTCTTCTTCTCCTCCTCTCTCTCTCTTACTGGGTCTTTGAATTCTGTGGAGGAGCTTGTTGGGTTCTTTGAGTTTTCACCTTTACAGGCTCTGATCCAAAGAAAAATCTGAACTTTCTTCAACAATTCACCTCTTCAATTTCTGGGTAGTGGTTGTTTTTTCAAGCTCAGTTTAGCTGGAAATGGCAACTGTGAGTTCTTTCTATTTTCTCTCTCCTCTTTGTCAATTATTTTGGTCCTTGTTTCGCCTTGTTTTTGCCGTGCTTTGTGCGTCTCTGACTGAAGAGAAAATTTGAGGAAAAGGGTAGGGAATCAGAGATTAATCTCTTGCATTATATTATAATCTTTCGTTATGTCAAGTGAATCTCCTTTTTATTTATTTATTTATTTTTAAGTCTGATTTCGCCGCTTATCATTTTTCTCCATTTTCTGATGCTTTCATATAGTTGACCAAAATTTGATTCTTTTTTTTTTTGGTTTTGTTGCCCCATCATTCCTTATCTCATAAACCAAGTACCATAAGTAACTTTATTTTCTGTTTGTTGGAACCTTGAGGCAATTCCATTAGAATATTGACATGTCCGATTTTCTGAGTTTATGGTGGAAACTAGCCTCATAAATCAGGCTATGTTGAAATTTTAACTTAGCTTTGTGAAATACTTAAAAAAATTGTTAGGTATACAAGGTGTAACTGGTTAATTTAAAAATATGATATCTGGGGGTATATGTATTAACATTATTGGAAAAACAGGAATTCTTAAATGTATTAGTTGAATTAAGATAGACAAAACAATGTAGTTAAGCAGTATAAGTATGCTATTCTGCTGTATTCCTATGTTTCAGTTAAAGGAAAACCTTCTTTGAGCTGTAACAGTGTTCACAGTGGAAGTTGTTGTGCCATGTATGCTATTTGACATTTGTAGCTTTTTCATTTTTATTTTTATTTTTGTGTGTGTGTTTTTCTCTCTCTCTCTTGAATTAGAACAGGTTGGTGATGCATGCGATTGTGACTGTAAAAAGAATCAAAAGATATCATTGCGATCGTAGAATTTTGTTATGTTATTGAACGGATTTTGAATGGATGGAGCTATATCATGTTGGATATTAATCTCTGAATATTTTAGGGTTCCCAATTAAATGATTAGCAACATTATAAGACTTATTTTTATTATTTATTTTAGAGGTATTCTAGTTATAAAAGGAAAAAAACATGTGCCCCTGTTGGTGGCTTTTTCCACTTTCCATCAAAGTTTTCTTTTATAAAGTATTATGTGTGATATACTTTACACATATTAATTCACGTATGTTTTGTATCTCTTTCCTTATATATCAAGTCCAAAATTAGCAAATTTTGGTTGATTTAGAAGCTTCCTGTGTTTGTTATTTCTTGCAAAAATGAATGACTTGTGTAGACCTAATATAGTTTTAATGGTATCAATAGTTTCATTGCCTTGTATAACAATTTTTTTATAATGGAATGATCTGATGGAAGAGATAAGGGTGAGAATAATCTTTTTGTGATTTCAGCTGTACTGATTTTGCAAATATGTATCCATGGAAGTAAAACTGTTAGGTTTGTAAACTAATTCTATGGCATGTTGGTATCCTGAACAAAATAAAACTTTTAAACAAGCTCCAGCTTCATGGAATTGGAATCAAGAAATCTTGATTGAATTTAGTTAGTTTGACTAAGAACTTGATGAAAATGTAAACGAACAAACTCCAACCACCAAATTATCATGGATCACCCTTGGGGGAAGAGGTTAAGAGACTTTCTAAAATATTAGACATAGAAAATGATATATGACTTAATATAACAGCACTAAAACATGTACTATGAGTTTCTTTTATGCCTTCTAAAAGATACCGGGTGTTATATAATATGATGGGCCTGAAAGCGAGAGAGCTAGTTAGTTAGTTAGTTAGGGAATTCTTCTAGTTCCTATAGGATGGGATAAAAGGTGGGAGAATATGGGAAGTGGGGTATGTGATTTGTAATTGATTTGGTTGGGGTATTGGGTTGGGAGAGGTTCTGTTGGAGCCCTCTGTTACCTGTTCATCAGATTCAGTGTAATAAAAATTGGGTTTCATCATAATGTAATTATGGAATGACAATAGCTTTGCTCCTTTAGCGACTGGTTTTTGGGATATGGGGTTAATTCCTAGCCTTTTCCTCAAGATCAAATGATATGAAGTTAATGAGCATTGCAAGAACATTGAGCATATTGAATTTTATATAATAGGACAAGAGACTTGATAATTGAAGTCTTTTATTGAAATTTAAGCATATTAAGGTAGTTTCAACACTAGATCTGTTTTTGTTCCCAAGGAGTGATGAAGAACAATGAGGACTGTTTTGAGTGTTGATTAAGTGAATGTAATGAAGTCATATGTGAACTTAGTACTCTGTTGTAAAGTGTGGAGAATTGCATGCTTGATTCCAATAAATTAAACTACGAGACATCTTAAAATACCATAGTAATAACAACAGATAATTATGATTGGTAAATTTCAAATTGCATCAATCTGGTAACCTTGTTGTCCGTCTTTGGATTGATACAGTTAAGTTTTCTTTGGCAAAAAGTAGATTATTGTTGGTGATTAATACAAGAATGGTAAGAAAAAAAGTTATAAGTATGAAAAACAAATCAAAATGGGAAAATGGATGAAAAACAATGCTTAAATGTTATCTTCGTCTTTTATGAAATTCTGAAGGGAAGTGGATGATTTGAATTGAATATTGTATTTTGATCAGTGTCTGCAAGGGTTTGATTTTGCTTTAGTAATAAATTGGAATATTTTTTGAGATTAATATGAGATTGGTTATAAATGGATAAATGGGTGAGAAATACCTTAATGTATATAATAAGCATTGAGAGATACCATACCCGAGAGGGAAAGAGAGATTAAAGACAAAGCAAGGAGAAAGAAGATCAGAAAAGGTGAGATGCAAGTTGGACTTCAAAATGCAGGTATTATTGTGAATGAGGAAATAATTAATTTTGGAGATCAGCAGTTGTATAGATTTGGTGACAAGATTATAGTTCTCTCAATTGATGAGCCTTAACTCAAATGGTATGCCGCTGTGTCTTTATGCTGTTGGTTGGGGCCTGGGGGGTTAGATCCCCCTGAATTCTTTTCCCCTATTCCTCCTTAGATCCCAATAGGGGTCTCCCTAGTCACCAAAAAATAGACTTCTCAAGGTTCTGTCCAAGATATTAATCTGGTTTATTGTTTTATCTAGGTTATCATTAATCTTTTGCAACTTACATGAATGGGGCCAAGTAAAACATTATCTCTTGATGTATAAAGTCACCGGATTTTGGGTTTCATTACCCATTCTAATTTATTTTGAATAGTTCAGTCGCGAGGACAATTTGGAATAGGTTATTTGGAGTTTTTCTGCATATTTCTTCCAACATTTAAGAGCGCCGTGGTGATTCATCTTGATGGATGATAATGGATAAGAAAGAAGTTAGATGGAGAAATTTTGTTTGGGTGTGTGCAATGTTTGCAGTAATTTTACTCTGCTTACTTGTAGAAATGTAGTTTACTTTTTAATGTCATTTGTTTTGGGAAAATTAGTCCTCTATGCTTCCTTAAGGTGCTTTTCATTTGCTTCTTTTTTCATTTATAAACAAAATTTTCATGAGAAATCTCTTAGCGACTTAAATTGAATTTGATGGGATAGTAAATCATCCTTTGTCAGCTTTTGTATCATCTTACATGCAAAGTGAAATAGATCCCACTGTACTATATGGTATATATTATAGAGTGGAATCATTATCTTATCGCAACAGCACCATTTCACGTGGAAATAACCTTGTAACATGTTGAATCTCCTGGAGTACCAAAATATGATCCTCCTTGCAAAGAAAGCAAAAGGAGCAATATCTTTTTGTTTCCTTTCACTGTTATTTCCCTATTGATAACTCTAATTCTGATATGTGAAGTACATTTATTAGCATTTAGAACTTGTATCAGTTACTGAATAGCATCTTTTCAATGTGTCAATTTAACAGCAACGTTCTCATGTTCCAAAGTTTGGCAATTGGGAGAGTGGAGAGAATGTTCCTTATACAGTTTATTTTGACAAAGCCCGGCAAGGTCGACCTGGCGCAAAGATGATTAATCCAAATGACCCTGAGGAAAATTTGGATTCAGTTCTTGAAAATTCATCTTCTGCTGACCCCGAGGATCCATCTGGAGGACCAGCGATATCAACACATGAGTTACAAAAGAGCAAGGAGGATGGTGATCCTAAGCATTTTATTGACTCGCCAGCTCGTCATGACAATGTAGGTAATAGGACTGCCAGTGATTCCGCCCATCGTCCTGGAGGCCATGGAGTAGGTTCTGCTGACACCCGTAGAAGACCTTCCAGACAAAGCACTGGGTCCGAGTACAGTGTTGAACGTTCACCCCTTCACCGCCAGGCTAAAGCCCCTGGCAGGGACAGTCCTTCTTGGGAAGGGAAGAGTTCGTATGACAGCAGCCATGGTACACCAGGAAGATCCAGATTAAGACCAGTTAATCGAGGGGACGAAAGTGTTAGTTTTCTTTTCCACTCTCCTATTTTATTACCATGTTTGAATATATATTGCATCAATAAGATCGATCAGTTTGGAAATTTCTGAGGATTTGACTTTAGAGTCTTTATGAGACTTTCCTTCACAAATAATTTCTGATTTTTAGCATTCTGATTTGGCAGCCTGATAGAGGTGCTGCTGTTCCAAAGTTTGGTGAGTGGGATGAGAACAACCCTGCATCTGCTGACGGCTATACTCACATTTTCAACAAAGTGAGGGAGGAGAAACAGGTTGGAGCTGGACATGCGCCAGGCACGCCTAATGGGAGATCATATGTTGTCCGGAACCAACCTGCCAATGACAAGGTCCAGGTATGTCTGCAACACCTGTTTAATATTGAGACAGTAGATTTGTAACTTTGGTGTTTTCACCGTACTGATACTTCATTGCTTTTCATCATGATTTGTTTCTCCAGAGTTGCTGCTTTTGCTGGGGCAAAAAATGATTTCTTGGAAGTGTGAATTGTATTCTGAACAGAAAAGATTTTAGTGTTGTGAATGGTCAATAGGTGTGTAGCACTTGTAAATATTCAAGGCTCTTTCTCTCTGCGGGAAAACATCATTATGTATCTTTCTTTCATTTGGTCAGTAAAAGACACTTTGCATGCATGATTGTGATTTGTCCTTTTTATCTTTTGTTATGTAACTGCCACGCTTTATAGTTCAGTTTTATTTGTATTTAGCTGAGATCTATAAGATTTATGTAATTCTTTTCTATTGAATTGATGGGTGGTGATTTGAGTCTTATTGTGTCCATCTTGGTGTTTACCTCCTGTATTTTTAACTCAATGGTTCAATCCAATAACAAACTCTTTCATAAAAGTTAAATAGGTTCTTAAATGAGTTCATGTTCTGTTTAATTTATATACTATCCTGCACTCCTTCAAGAAAGTTTTTTTTTTTAATTATTATTTTAAATATATACATTGTTTTCGTAATTTGGACACATAAGTTATGTTGCATCAATATTGATACGACACGATACTCTGATACATTAAATAATATTTTGACACGTTTCCATTAAGATTTTTATATGTTTTGATATTAAATAATATTTTTAATTTATGGAGTGTATATTATATTTAGAGTAAAGTCCCTAACAAAAAGTATGGTTTTCATTTTTGTTCTTAAAAAAAAAATCATATTAATTCTTTTTTAGGGATTAAATTGAGTCTTCGTTGAATTTCTGAAGGATTATATTTTTAAAGAACTGGAATTGTAGAGAAATTAAAAGTTAATTTTTTTTAATTTTTGTAAGGAGAAAAGTGATGATCGAATTTTTTGTTAGAGATCCAAAGAGACTTTATTTTTATATTTAATATTTAATAATTTAACAAAAAAATAAAATAAAATCTATAATACCCATTAATTTTGCGTAGAAACATAAAATATAAATATTTACTATTATGTTTTCAAATTGAAAATCTCTTATACATTTTAGTGAGATTAATTTGGTATTAATTTTTAATTTTTATTATATCAGTATAGTAAAATATTGATTAATTCTTTTATAATATGTAATAAAAATTTTAAATATTATAAATATCAAAACGTGTATTGGAAAGTATACGCTTCATAATTTTTTGAAGTGTCGTGTAATATAGCACGGAAATGCCGATGGCCAAAGGTCTTTAAAAGTACTTCTCCAAAAATCAAACTTTTGATTTTAGGGTTCAAAGTTCAGACAGCTTTGAAGAAAGTTTTCATTACGCATCTTTAATGTTTGAAAGCTTAGGTTAACAAATCAATAATAACTGCCATGATATACATCATTAAGAGCTGTTTGGATGAGTTTTTTTTCTTCAAAATCTGCTTTTTTTAAAGAAAAAAAGCACTTCTCGAAAAAAGTCTGTTTGGATGCATGTTTTTAAAAAAACAGAAGTTATAAAAAAAATCAAAAATCTACTTTTTTCGGAAGCTAAAAAGTTTAGCTTTTAAAAAAAGCAGAAGTCAAAAGTCAATTTTTTTTTAAAAAAATCAAATATTTTAAAAAAATCTAAATAGTTGTAACTTTTATAAAAAGTACTTTTAAAATAAGAAAGTGATAAAAGAACTTTCTTGAAAAGGCAATACAAACGAACCCTAAATCTAACTAATTTTGTTTCCTCATAATAATATGTCATGTAAATGTTTCTTTTGTTAAACAAATTTTATTTATCTCTTTATAAAATATAAAACGTATAATTGACAAGTTAGAAACATGAAACTCTCTTGGGATTTACATCGACAGAAGGCTGATTTGTTAGTTTCTCCTTGAATTCCTTCTTTTTTTCTACCACGTTGCCAAGTTTTGAAGTGCACTTTTACAGTTCTAAGTCTAAGTGTTGTTGGCTTTAGGTTCATTTCATACTTTTGAGTAACTAAAATCAATGAATGTGAAACTCTCAATATCAGTTACATTTCCTTTAGCATAAGTTTGTTTCAAGCTACTTGATTATATTCTCAGGAATGAAATTTTGAAAAATATAAGAAAAAATATTTGTCCTTTTAAAGGATATAACTTTGTGTAAACGATATCATTTTGATGTATAATTAATAATTTTTTATATACTCTCTTCTCCATTTTCTTTCTCTTCCTATCTTTATAGAGGAAGAAAAATATAAAAAATTATCTAAAATAACTTCGTTTCAAGTTACTAGATTATATTCCCAGGAATGAAATTATCTAAATGTTTTTTCTAAGTAAATCACATGTTTGGTTAGCATTTAATATTTTAAAAAACGTTTTTCAAAATCCAAATGATGCGAGAAATATTATGGTTGGGTTATAAGATAACTTCCTTTAACGTGTTTGTTCCGGATGGCCCAACAAGAGTCAGGCCCAATAGTTAAGGCCCAACACCTACCAAGCATCCACGTCAGCCGTACTAGCTGGGGCGACGTGTACCCCCCAATGTGGTAACTTCTCAAGGCTAAACACCAAAGTATCCCACATAGGGACCTCAACTCCTGAAAGAGGTCGCCCAAATGCCTTAAGAGGAAACTGTCCCCCTGGGACCAATGCTGACATCGCCAGAAGCAGAAGGCACAGCGCTGCTGCGATGGCAGCACCTGTCACGCCCAACACTGCCATCGGCATATGGTCCCAAGAAGAGTTGACCTTCTCTCCACCAACCTTTACCAGGTAAGCACAATCTTCCCTTATAAATAGCTCCCCAGGGGCACCTCAAAGATCATCTTATGTATGGTTATACTGCCCATTTCCTTAGAGTTATTTTATTACCCTAACTTATTCATTGATTACTTTGCTTGTACTTGGCACTATACCCCTTAGCTTGGTCTGTACCTATGCTAAGGGTATCATCCATACATGAAAATATTATATTCTTACGTTCACTTTCTCAAAAATAATTAAATAATCCTCGAAACAAATACACCCTTAAGCTATTTTAATTGTTTGAATTATTATTTCAACCATTCTATCTACCCCATTCTAAGAAGAACGACAGAGCTAGTACCAAGAGAGATCCTAATTAGATCATGAGGAGTTGGGGCAAATCAAATATGGTTGAGCTTAATTCAGATAGATGTTTTGATGAAATAGATGAACGTGACAGGATCTTTGCTCTATCATGCGAGATAATGTTGCGGGATAATGATATTCAATATTGCAGTTGTATATTCTGACTACAACAAGAGAGGATTAGTATCCATAGACATTCCGAGACTCAAATTAGTGTTTTTTTTTTTCTTCCGGTAAACACTCAAATTAGTATTTAAATAATGAGTTAAGTATGATGAGAAAGTTGAATATACTTTGAGAGTCTTGGCCTCTCTATTTATAGTATGCCATATGACATGCTTGTTGACTTAACTAGAGCTGGCAAAATGGGCTCGGCTCGGCGGGCCAACCCACCCAACCCGCCAAACAGGACGGGGCGAGCTGAGTTTTTTAACCCATCTCAAAAACGGGGCGGGGCGAGGCGGGGCGGGGCGGGGCGGACTCATTTTTTGGCTGGTTGACGGCAGGCCGAGGCGGGTCACTGTAAAATAGGCTCGGGCTGGCGGGCTGAGTTTTTCAGCCCATTTTCAAAAGCGGGGCAGGGCGGGCTGACTCATTTTTTGGCGGGTTGATGGCGGGGTGGGGCGGGCCGCCCACTTTGCCACATCTGCTTAACATACCATCTTAGTATAGCGCAGTGGTGGATCCAAGAAAAAAAATTTATGTCCGCACATTTAGTGGCGGGGGCTGCCCCCAAATTTTTTTTTTGTAAAGAAAGTTGAACCCGCTCATAATCTAGTTGCTTCCATAACAAGTTGCAGACAATAGTTTGACCAATTGTTGCCCCCTAAATCTTACAAATTCTCCAAAACAAATATGAGAATATACTCCAGTACATCCATACATCATCATTCTATTTTATAGTGGTGAATAAAAAAGTCAACACTACCTGTACAGAAGGTAAGAAAAATCACAGTGAAGGCCTCGTCTCTTTTTTTTGTGGCAAATGAAGGCCTCGTCTCTAGATATTAACTTATTTGAGAATGTCAGACCTGCAATCAATCCTCTCTTTTTATAAAAATGAAAAAGAAAACAAAGGATGAAGAGAGCTGAGAATGGGTACGTAACACGGGAGGAAGAATAAGTTTTCTCTGTAATCAATTTGCGTTGCTACGTTGTTTTAATCATCTCTGTACGTTGCTAACTAATATAAGAATAAATATCGTTTTTGGTCCCTAACAAAAAATTTGGTCCCTACTTTAGTTCATTATAAAAAAAAAATTAGTCACCTGGTTCCTATGAAATTTAAAGTGACCCATTTTGGTCTATTTGAGGGACTAATGTAGGTCTTTTTTGAATTTGTGAGTGACTACGATTTTAACTAAATTGATCCACTTTAAATTTTTTAGGGACCTCGAGACTAATTTTGTTTTTTAAAAGACTAAAATGGGGATCATGTTTTTGTTAGAGACTTTAAAGGATATTTATTCCTAATATATATTGAACCAAAGGACAAATAAGGACCTGCAACCAAAAAAGAAAAAAAACTGAAATAAAATTTTTTATGACCGCACTTGCGGGCATTTGCCCGCAAGTGGGTCCGCCACTGGTATAGCGGTATGATTGATACTTTTGATATACTAATTTAAGAGGCTTTCCTTACACACCCTTAAAATGGGCAGTGACAGAGCCACTTGTTGTTTAGATGGTGCCTTGACACCAGCTAATTTTTAAAAATAATATATTTTTTTTTTAAAAATTATGGTATAATTTTAGCATTGGATGATTTTTTTAAAATAATATAACATTGGCACCAACTGAATTTTATCTAATTGAATCTTTTGACACCATTTAAGTTTTACTTCTGGCTCCGCCATTACACATGGGAAGCCTCTTGATGGGCTATATTGTTGAGGTTTGGCTGGAAGTTTATCCTGGTTGTTTGTCATTGACTAATAAGAAGTTTTGTTAGACCTGTGTTGCTGGGGGTTTAATTCTTCGTATTATGTAATATATTTACTTTACGTATATCTAATATGTTTCCTTATTAATTAACTTTTTAATTCGTGCTCGACTGTTAATGTATTGTGCCCTTTATAGCTATTAGGTCCCGATTAGATCCAAATAAGCTGTTGCGAGCCCCAGCTCATTGTTCATTACTGGTTGTAGAGCTTCTTTCTTATTTTTTCTAGAGTAGAACTATTTTTTATATGCATCATATTGATTATAATTTGAGGGTAAATTTTATTGTATATATTACCCGGAGTAGGGGTGTGCATGGGTCAGGTCGGGTCAG